ATAATGAAAAAACCCTACAGCACGTGCTTGACATGGCTTACACGGCCCCTAAAATGGGGGTATCGTACTCCATCATCTCTGTAATGGGACCTGACCCATTGCAACAATGCTGTTGCGCTCCATACGCTACAGATGTTAACGTTGGTGATAAGGCCGAAATCAGTCGTATATCATTTCTCTGCCACTCGATGTTATTTAAGGTTGATGATCAAAAGCGGGCATGTAAACTCAGAAGTAGGTCACCCAAGTAGGCAGAAGCGTACTGAGTGAATTTCTTGATTGTTTCCTTCGTTTGGGTTATGATTGACCATGGTGAAAACGGATTTGGACACCCACATACTAACTTCTTCCTAGATTAGGAATGAGGTGATTTGTTTACGACATTCAAGAAATCGAAATTGATATCTAAAGTAATTGTTCTTTATCGTAGCCGCAATATTTCTATGCGACAGTCAGGCACATATATTACCAACGTCTTTGTCATTTGCATGGCTCGCCGTTCAATTCTCGAAAGTGATACCTTTTATTGTCATCCAATGCATAATCATGTAGCAGAATCTAACCCCCAGCGTCCATCTTGATACCTTTGCGGGTATGTGATTTATAATGTGCTGGGCTATGCTGAAAGACAATCAAAATTCATGCTAAAATAATGTTAGTGCCTTTTTTGAAAAGATTATGTATTGCCATCAAAAGAATGTGACTAAAAATTCTACTGTCGGCGTTGGGACATCCTTCTGTTCGTAATTAAAAAGCTGTCGTTGCTGCTTTTAGTATACAATATCTTTTGAAGTGTAAATCGTACGTTTTATGTGTTTACCATCAGGATTTCGACCAAGTCATATCGCGAGCGCTGCAAATCAATGAACATTTGATATGCTCGATTACTCAAAAAAAATCAAGTCAAGCTCTCGTTTGTACTTGCGGGACTTACAACATTAAGCTTCATATCATAATCAAGCGTGAAAAGCTGCTGCTCCAATCAACAAAAAATCGGCAGATACGACAGCAACTTACGTGGGCCAGAGCTGCCGCTATCGGGCGATACGGTCTAATTTGAACCTGGTGGTACATCGGACTTTACCTTTGTGTGAGCTTACACAAACCGGAAGATAACAGCATTGGCTGATATGGTAATCTACTTCTTTTTCAATTTTAATCTCAATGAACGATATATTTTGGCCTGAGGTTACGAGGTATATAATTCGATATACACTACATCGCAACGAGTCAAGTGCTACACGTGGTATCAACTAATTTAATTTTTTAAATTGACTCCGCCTATAAGGATTAAGTTGTAGATTTTTCGATAAAGCTTAAAGGTGAACAACATTTATTTTGTTTTAATAACATTCCATTGTTGACCCTCACAGTTAGTTTAAAGCTTTGAACGACCATGGAGATGCTTCACGATAAAGTACCGTGATTAGTCGTCAATATAGATAAGAGTCATGGCTTATCCGAAAAGGATCAGCCCTGAGCTTACACGATGTGTCACATAGGCATTTATTGCTGTCGATATGCACATCGATTTCTTTTCTGCTAACTACAGTTTTAACTTGAACAAATTTCGTTACTATGACGAGAGGATGTCGGTTTGGCACCTTTAGAGCGGCTGCTTCCATTCTTTTACGTAAGCTAACGCAGACTACTATTAACGTATCTTCTCACGTGTGAGGCGCGCCACATTCCAAGTATCACCTGGCGTCAATCCCACAGCGATTAGTTAAAATGAAACAAAATTTTTGACGTAAAAAAGCTGAAATACTCAACAATTTTCAGAGGACAAAATGACATGTTTGACAAACGTTTGCCTTGATCTGACCCGACAACATAGCGCATTTGGTCGCCTAAGATAAGCGGTTACCTCTCAACTACCAGCAATAATAATGCGCTTATGGGACCTTTCCCGACGTCTCAGCTATAACTTTTACAGTCTAAAGGGTTCGACTAATACAAAAGGAGGTGATTGTTACATCCCAGAATTGTTCTTTGCAGAGCTATCGGCGTTCATTATCAATGTCTAGGATTATGTGAATAAGTTTCCAATCGAACTAGGAGCGTCGTGCAATCTTCTGCGACGCGCCTGTTGGAAGGATTAATGATGTAAAATACACAAACTAAATCCGTGCGACATGCGACAGAGACGAGACAAAGTGTCAAATGTTCTTTCAAGTACTTTTTTAGTAATTTGAGGAGTTTGTCATTGTGAGACGCTGTTTACTCCTCTATCTAAGCTCACATTACGATCTCACATTCGGTCAAACGTGACTTAAAAGTTTTCTTGTCCGACTAGAAGTCGAACAGATTGCGTACCACATAATTACTAGCAATTAGAGCTATGACGAGTCTTGAGCCCACCTCTGTTAGGAACCAAGAGTGTTTTTGGTCCGGTAATTTCGCTGCGACAGCTTTAGTGCAGAACATAAGACTGCTTGCGAGCTAAAAACTATGATTTGGTGAAATGTGCAATGCTGACTGTGTGAGATCATGTTAGGATATAGTGCCCGTCGGGACGAGTACGAGCGGCTCAAGGCAGCGATCTGCCGAGAAGAAGGCAGTTGAGACAAGCAACAATAAGTTGCAAGTCGAAGGGCAACGCCCTTAAGTTATTAATAAGTGTTTATTTTGTCACGATCTACTGCTGAGATATATTACCGTGTGACGCGCCGACGGTTCCGATCAGTGACAATAATGAAGGACGCTCGTTTATCAAGAAATTCGAAGATTGAGAAGGCTTTTTTTATTAAAAGAGTATGACGACATGGAGACGCGAGATACTTCAAGCGTGTCTTCTGAATGGAAGAATGTGTCATGAGATTGATCTAGCCCCTGACGCCAGGCACCGTGCCAAACATTCTTTTGCACGACGAATTGGGTTATTCTACTCAGTCCCAAATTTTATTTCAAAGTCGAATGACAGGTGCGATTGAAAACTTTTCTTTTAGAATCGTAATCACTACCCTGGCGCATACTAAACGCTGTGCTGCACAATAACATTACTAGTTGTATCCTGTTCAGCATCTTGGCTTAATCAATGGGTATATTCCTTTGCTGAAGAAATACTAGGATATTCTCTTCACTGCACTGAGTATCCTGCGGGTCTCCTGGGAGTAGTCCAGCGCACTAGCGACGTTCAATTGTTCGGCACGGCTTTTTTGGGCTGCATTGTTTGTATGCATAGATCTAGTTTAGCGGCACAAAAGTCGTGCAGTCAAATAAAAACGTTCTCATACATGTAGTCACTCAAACAAGCTGTTAGCCAACACAGACAAGGGTATGTTTTGCATTGACAAGATTGAATTTTCGGGATGTTTTTTTTTCGAAAGTTTGCAGGCAGATCCTGCAAAGACGTAAGCCACTGCGGTGTTGCTAAAGCAGCATTTAAAAAACGTGGCTTGGCCTGGCTGACTGCTGGCATCAGTTTGTGCAAAGTACGATACAACTATACCCCTCATCAATTTCCATAGAAATAGTGTAAAACGTTATGCAGTATGTAGTTGTATGTTCTCGAAATTTGGAGTTTTCAAACGTATGTCCCACATTTAATGTCGTTTGTGACGTTTATTTTCCTTCGGGTGGTCTGTAACGAGCTAACTCCTGATCTAAAGCAGCGATACGATTTTGAGCGCTCGCGACGCCTCAAGCCAATCGATCCAGTTGCGCATCGCAAAAAAGTAACCCATGCCAGTAACTTCCACGCAACAATAGTCGCCGAGAACGTGCTGCCACACCAAGCTCACAAGATCCAGTCGGCGGAGGGTCGAACTCCGCCGCTCTGCTTGACGAGCAAAGGAGAGTTGACTGTTAGGAGTAGGCAATGTGTCATGCAGCGCTGTAACCGGTATCTGGTGGAGTGGAAAGGGTACTTTCACTTTGAGAAGTTAATGAGGTCAACTTCGGTAAAGCTGACCCGGCGCTATACTACTTATGATATTTGGTGGACTTTCTGTCCATATCTCATGAGACGAGACGCATCGCTGCGTGATTTACATAAGTGGATGAAGCCCGATTCAATATCAAGTTTGGATTTGATCAGTAGCTGTACCTGGAGGCTCATGGACATGAACAGGGCTATTGACTACAAGAAATTCCGGTGGTGGGCAGCCGCTTCGGCGATCTTTGTGCTTTGACCTGCGATAACCAGTCTTAATCGACAACCTGTATATCGTCTGTTTTACTGAAGCTGGCTAGTTGAGTATGAGGCAATCAAAAAGGCATGCCGTCTTCACTAAGTGATCAAATTGAATATGATACTCTTTGACGTTTTTGCCAGCGTTCAGTACAAAATGTACGGCCCTCTTGAATCGAGCTTAGTTACTTAGCAGCTGTTCCTTTAATATCAGGCGATATTCCCAAAATGTGTAGACCCGAGAAGTTAAATACCGCCCGTGACCGTCTTTCAGAATCTCTCAGTTTGAGTATAATGCCCACACGCATTAGTGTACGAGAACTTTGTCGTGACGGGCAACTCGTGATATATTAAATCCATAATCTCGATGTAACTGGATCCGCAAAAGTTGTGACTATCGCACTTGTAGTCGCACAGACGCTGCTCGGTGGGTCAGGTCCAGCTCACTAGAAGGAGCAAGACGTTAACGTGTTCTATGATGTAAGGATCGTAATACTCTCTGCAGTGGGAACGTACATGATGGAAGGGTCGTAATACTCTCTGCAGTGGGAACGTACACGAAGCCGGATCGCATGAGCATCTCATCCTCAGCGAGAGACCTTGTCGTATGTCTCACGGAAAGAGTGAGAAAGCTTCGGAGATGCATTGTGGTTGCTAAAGTCATAGAGAAGAGAAAGCACATAGAAAAAGAAATTCGATGCCGATTGTGATTGCATATGAAAAGGAACTGTTTGGTGCAACAAGAGGAATAGCCATCCGGTGCAGTTGGTCTCGAAGAGAATCTTCTAATGGCTGATATAGCAGAATAAATGTGACCCTAGTGTGCTTAACATGTTGATGGCAAGGGTGCGACGGGGATACGTAACGTATCTTACGGCTTACGTACACCTAACATGGTGTCATTATTGCCCTTGGCTTCGAAGCAAACTCATGCTTACCAAAGTAAAGTGCCAAGATGTAGCAAAAAAGTTAGTATCGGTACGGTCGAGGAAAATACATTTTCAAAAAGGCAGAGGTTAATGGTTTATCCTAGTTTTATCATTATTGACGACAATACGCGTTTTGGTTATTCGTCTGCAGTTATCTGAAATTGCTCATTCTTCAACTAAAACTATTAAAATACTCGGTACTGAAAAGGGGTGTGCTCCACATCCAAGATACGGTAATTGCATTAGTCTTTGCGCTCTGGTTAGCGTTAAAAGTACAGGCCACCAGATACTATCTCTGTGCAAGGTATCTTGACATTCCCGCTGCATTTGGTAGCACTTGCCGTTGGTTCAACGGCTGAGCCATTGTAAGCCTGTACCCCCTGCAGCAGGACACTATCTTGTTTATATATGATCTAGACAAGACCCGCTTGATGGGCGTTTAGATCTGACTAATACTGCGGTGATAATTCAAGTAACGGTTGACGGCTCGAAAGCGCTACCGCCTACCAAAATCAATTTCCAGCAAAGAAAATGCAGCGGTAAACACCCTCGGAAAGTCATGGTCGGAATGTCGGCTAATCTTTCAAAAATCAGCAACAAATACGGTATTCATGGAGGGCCTCTGTGCAGGTGTTGCATGCACGGATATCTATATCTTCTATGTACACTCGATGGCTTTTCAAAAAGTCGTAAATGCTGCATGAATGCGTATCGCAAATTTCGATACAAGATGGTCGGTTAGACGGGGCCAAATATGCGTGCTAGAGGCAATTGATTTTACCCAAGATGAGTGATTCCTTCACCACTAGGCAGCAGTTTGCTTCAATAAGGGCTACATCCGCGGAAGTGTCAGACATTTAGTCTCTAATTGCCCCGTACACTTGACATTTGAGGTATAAATGGGTAGGCTTACAAGGATAGCTGGACGACTGACCATTGCGATGAAACGTTGAGACCTAATAGGCGTAGGGTCTCCTAATGGAAAAGAATTGAGCTTTATTTAGCTTGTGATGGTCGAGGTCAACAGGTCTCCACTCTACAGAAGCGTGCTTTTAAGACGTGGGGTGTATATTCCTAGTTTGCTGGTCGTTAGGATAAACGTGTTGGGTTTTGCAAAGCCATGTAAAATAATCTTAATAGTTTCAAGTTCGATGCGCCACTCTGTGCTGCACACACTTGATTGACTAAACATAAAGGAATATGTGACCGAATCAGCATGCCAAGTACGGAAACTGCATTCGTATGTTTTGCGAAGGTGCGTTTTTGAGCCGCGGTCTCAATGGAAATACCGTGCTGAGATGGATAAGACAGGGTGAGCTGGGAGTCTCATCGATCAAGTCGGTTGAGACAGCAAAGGAAGGCTTCGAGCTGGGTCCCTCAAATCAAATCTCTGCTGGGTTGAGAGAAACTAATGTGATATCCTTTAAAAGGCGGCTTGGAGCGCTTTAGCGGCTTGGTGTCCTCCAAAACCTTCGATGGAATAGGCAAAACGATTTAATTGTAGTTTGATCTGACATTGATCACTGTCATTCATGTGGCTGCGCAATGGTACAGATAGGGGACGTGTCCACTGTGACTCAATTAGAAAGAAAATACATGTTTTACAGCGGTATACATTGTTGATGATTATCTTCAGAAAATGCATGCGAGTATTGCCAGGCACGGAGATGATTAAAATGATATTGATTGCACCGGAAAAGAGATGGTATTATCATCCGCAATGGATGGGTCTACACTTTAGGAAACACTGGGTGCCTATAACATGGAATATATTCTCAGCGACCATACAAATTATCCAACACGGATGTTGCCTTAGATTGAGGTATTTGTAGTAGCTTTACTGCACGACGCTCAAACAAGGAAATGGTGAGATGTCATAGACACCCTACTTCATACAGTTTCGGTGTTATACGGGAGGACATGTCTGATCTATGATCTCATGGCGCCAACTTTGGGTTACTGTGCACCGTGGTTGAGCCAATTTTAACTAAGGTATTTAACGCCCACCATCGGAGGTACCAAACTGTAAGCCGCTCAAGTGATCAATACATAAAATCTTTTAATGCTAGAGTGTTTTTGATTAAACATAGTCTACATGGTACTTGATGTATCATTTTTGTTTCACAGTTACAAATCATTATTTTTTCCATTTAGCAGTCAATTTGTCTCACAAATCCCATTCAGGGAGTTCTGTCTTCATCTGTATCGAGAATTAATTGTGATACTTCTTCATGGTCCTAGTGCAATAATGTAACAAGCACATACACAATAAAAGGGTATGCATCACTATGTGTTCTGGACCAAAAAGTAGCAAATTGTGCATGCTTAGCTTCATACAGTCACGATTTTAGTGCGATCATCGATTCCAAATAAGGATTTGCTGCAGAAAAGTAAGGTAGAAAGGCTGCATTACATTACAGACATGATATAAAGACATGTTTGCTCGTGCCACCACCAATCAACTTTTGTCTTTAGCTGGTCCCGTGGTAATAGGACAATTGGCCAGTCAAGGCTATTTTCGCTCGCTTGGATGTGTTTACTACATGAATTCGCTGGGGATACACTACCAGAAATGTCGCCATCGGACATCTGTAAGAGCAAAATTGATTCCCATAGTAAGACTTTTCAGCTATCGATGAGCGCGTTGGGGACATTGTTGATTCTAATCCCCCTCCCCGCATTCCCTTCAAAAAATTTTTTTTTTATTACACCAAACACTGTTAGAAGCTCTCAAAATGCGTCCATCTATGTTGAAGCTACACGGCTGAGTCGAGCTTGCTGAGCAACAGCTGCAATCACCACCAGGTTCTTTGTTCAATTCACTTATTTACCAATTTGATGCTTACCAGCACGAGCCAAGAAATTTTTTTTGAGCTGGAGTGAAGAATAGCCAGCTCGGGACTGCACCGCGATACTCTTCGCCATTCAAACGAAAAATGGCGATGTCTTGCAGTCAATGTGAGGCACACGTACCACACCCGTCAGTTTGATGCTTACTTGAAGAAGTCACAACAGTCCAGTCGTTGACCATTATAATTCCTGGAGGTTTTCACTCATACAAAAAAATTGTTATCTACTTTCCTCATAGTATATGCTTTAACCAAAAGGACCATAAAGTATACGCTAACGAAATGCAATACAACACCACCAAGTCGTCATTAAGCCGGAGCGTTCATGTTGAATGAGCTCCACCCATTAGAAAAGCCAGGTGTCGTTCATATCAAACTTACTAAATGGGTAATATGTGAACCATACGGGTAAGCAACCTTGGCGACTGAGCAGACATCTGGTTAGAAATTTTTTAAGAGATCTGGTCAGGTCATCCGATATCATCTATATGATAGAAGTCGTTGGGATGCAAGATGAAGACTCATTCCTTGTTGAAAAGGTAAAGTCCGGGTGGGAACGACTTGAGGAAACCTTCTTTGCAAATATCCAAAGAGGATTCGTGGGCATTGCATACTTGGTTGCTGTAAATCGTGACTTAATATTGATGTCAATTTTGTAATGTGTATCGCACCGATCGTTATAATCTTATCCCACTAAACGCTTTTTTTTGCGACCTATTCGGACTGCATCGTGCATATCGCCTTTATCTTTTCTCGCATCATTCTCCAACTTTCTTTGCTCAAACTTTATCATCTCCATGTTTATGATTCTGAAGCGTGTGCGACGTCTTGTCGTCCTGATGATCGTGACTGCCTCCAGTTTCTCGAAGCTAGTTGCAAGTGCAGCTGTAACTCTCAGTGGTGTGCCCTCACTAGCCTATCAAGGCCCAACAATTGGCTCGACACCAACCGTCAATCAAGTTTTCCACCGCAGAACCAATGCGATCGATCGGCTTGTCACCTTCATCTCTAAATTGAACACTCGCACCAACAAATACCAGAAGATAGATGGTGCCCCAAAAATCCCTGCCAAATTCAAAAATGTAAGATCGGACAAGATATTCAGCATGGGTCAGTTTGTAAAGTGGTATCAAGAAGTTCATGCTGATGCTTCGCGTGATGCAGCCGAAAAAGACAGGTATATTTTTTCAGCTCTAGCATCAAACGTTAAAGCCCCCTACCTGTATGCTTCAATAACGACGGCGATAAGGAACAACGATGAGATTGGTCTTGCTTTCGAGAGATTGTTATTTGAGGACTGGGTCAGATCTATCGGTCGTGGCAACTTCATGAAAAATGAAAAAGTTTTACAATACCTTCAACATGATCATGATTCTCTTGACGGTCAGAAGATGACGAGATTGCAGTTGACACTGGATAAAGAAAACCATTTCCTGTTCGACGACTTCATGAAATTGAAATCGACCGTATACTTGAAGCGCAGCTACTATCAGCCTCTGTTGGCCAACTTCAAGGCAAATCATGACGGCAAGGTGGATAATAAGTACCCGAATCTGCGGCATAGTCAAACCTTCGACATTGATGCCTTGACAAATCTTGACGAACTGGATAGGGCAGTGACCGACTTTAAAGCTGATTTTGGTCGGTACCTTTTGTCTAAGCTGCGTATTATTGCGAATGACAAAGACATCTCGGAACTGCTACAGGAGCTAGCAGATACTAATCTGATGAGTGATTCTCTTCGAAAGGTCAAAGCTGCATTGATAGCGAGCAAGACGTCAGCACAGCCAAAGCACTAGCTCACTGAATTGGGCAGCACGCGCACATATACTGGTATGTGCATGAATATTTGACTCAATAACGCAGTTGCTTACAAGTAATTGTATCTGTTTATGGTGGTGTGTGTTATGTTTAGCTATAGAAACTCTATGTGGTGCAGTATGAGGCCAACGACGCTCCAACTCTAATATTTTAGCGGCTTTGATACAACGGCGGTGTAGAACACGCGCCAGTTTATAGTGCAAGTAATGTTTGATAACAGATAAAGTAATTAACTTGCTTTTTCTGTTTCAATAATGTTTTAAGAGAAGAAAGCACACTCATAGATCCAAGATTTACAGACAGTACAAACGTCTTTAAATTACGTCCACCAAGGCGATGGTTTACATGATCTGCACATTACACACACGTACATACTTTCATCCGCTGCTAGAGGAAGTTGCGCGTGGTCTACCACGGCGAGCTGTCGTGAGCACGTAAATCGTCATTGACAAGTCACAAACTATTGTGACATTTATCAAAAGTAAACCTTTTGAAACAGTAAAGTTCAATTATATGATATAGTCAAGTTTTGAATGAAGCGGACAGCAAGAAATGGTGAAATAGGCGTGCCCGTCATTTTCAGTCAAGCTGGCAAATTCAGAATTTTGCTGGGATCAAGCTGTATATTAAATAGGTAATTTTCGATTTTCAGAAGTATGGAGAGGATAACGAATATCGAAATAATGACTTAACAAATTAGCAATTTTGGGGATGTGGAGGTGGTCGATCATGAGTAATAACGTGGCGCCAGTTGAGTATTGCAAGAGGATGACAATTTGTGGGACACTTCAATAGAGCTATACCAGGCAATTTATCAAACTCTCCGAATCTGGCAATTGGAAAGAAAGCTGTGACCATCTCATGGGTTCATCTTTTCACTTTCCAAAAAATTTAGACGAGACACGAGACATATAAAGAAAGATCAAACCCAGTTTTTTTTTCTGCACGTCTTCACGATGCTGTATGGAGACAATCTAGGATTATCACAATACTGTTGTGGTAATTCTAGACTTAATAAGCCAAACAAATTTGCAAAGCTGTTTAAAGAGCTGACGCTCGCGGAGAGGAATATCATAAGACCTAGCGCCGGTCCCTGATTGATTTGCAAAGGTGCTCAACGATTGAGAGCTGCCCAAAGAATTAGATCTGATTATAAAAATCTTCTCGACTTGTGTCATGTTGTGCATTTTCCAAATCTTTTGGTATGGCTAATCGTTATTCCCACTACCGAGGAAGATATATTTTCAACTATTATCCATCAAAAACTTTTGCTTTATAGGATCGCAAGTGACTCATTCAAACAGCACGAGCTTATACTTGACTCGCTGTGGTGCATTAATGAAAGAAATCCAGATAAGTAAAATAATACAAATTCGACACATCTACTCTATAATCACATCGATCTTAAGTAGAATGACACATCTTCACAGAACTTTGGTTGTCAATAAGAACAAGAGTGCAGATTGAAATCCATAGGCATCTTTTGAGTCCTAGCCGCTCATTCTTTTTTATGATATAATGTTATGCACTTAAAAGTCCATATTGTCAGCTTCAAGCGCATTGATCACCGTCACTGAGGATGATTTTTAAAGTCGATCCTTTACAAAAACTACGAAAAGCATCATACGAATCTCCATTTTAAGCTTTGGTAAAGCACTCTTCCGATGTGAAGCATCCTGATGAGCATTCAAATTCGGTGTCCAGCTTCATTGCTACGAAATTGTTCTTAAGTGATCTCTAATTTTTTAATTTAATAAGAAAAGAGCGGGCGATGCATATATCCTGAATCTTACAACGATCAATCGCAGCGATTTCGTATCATAGAATTACCGAAACGGTGGGACGACGCTGGATAGCTGAATAGGAGCAAACGTAGCATGTAGGCGGCTGATTGGTTAACTAGCGCGTATACCAATGAATGCTGGCTCTTTTCCAGGTAGAAGGTTATCAGGAATGTCGGTTTGGTGTTCATGGCGTCCAGATTATAGATAATGGTTAGTGGATCGAGCAACTTTGGAAGCAGCCAATACATTTTACTCAGCTTGTCATGTAAATGCATAATATTCCTCTTAAGATCGGCGTTCGACATTCGACTTGATGGACCGTGCTGATGCCCTGGATGAGCAAAGCAATGATCATAATTTGAGCTGATCTTTATCGACGGTGCAGGTCATCACGTCAGCGAGAAAACAGTATCGCCAAGTGGCCTTAATCGCTTCAACCATCTTCCAGACAACATCGCATATTTGAACACAATCATCTGCATTCGACTTTTAGGTAAAATTAAGAGAAACATCAGTTACACAAACTTCCTTTTGGTCTCAAAGCTTAAATAGCCTTTGGAGTCGCGTACCATGCATAGCGGTTGTAGAATTTGATGACCTCTTTATCCGTAAGGTCTTGATTGCACTTAAACTTGTTAAAACTATGACGTTTGCTGGGTATCTTACCAGTGACGTCCAGAATTGTGGTATTGGAGTATACGTGCGTCACTGTGTTTCTCCCTCTCAATAACATCCTTCTTGTGACTAGTATACCATCTTGCCTTAGTACCGCTGCCCGTAGCCTAGTCGACGGAGTGTAAACTTCATGCACCGTTTGCTCTCCCCGTGTATCCAGATGGCACTGCGCAGTATTTCTGTTCTATGGTAAAAGATGGATGTCTTGTGCGGGATGCCTGATCAAATCGCAATATTTGACATCTCAGAGATTTTTAACGTATATGCCTCGGTGGAGAACACAGTGGCTGCGATGATCGTACTATTCTGCGGTTAAAGATCGAGATTTCGATAGCAAAAGCAAGCAGGTATCTAATAGTCCAGCGATCTATTGATCTTCGCAAGCATTATGCGATTCTTTGCAAGGTATTTCCGTACAACAAAAGAAAAGACTCTATTGTTTGCGCTTGCATTGCGATGGAAATTTTAGAGCCTGCAAACGTGTATTCTTTTGCTCGCGACAGCATGTATCTTGTTTACACACATATCCGTAGCGATGAGTGGTGAGTGTACAGATTACGAGTCCTACAAACGTTGGATAAATTTGTGCATCTAACTTGATAATCCTGATTAGAGTGGTTTTTGAAAATCACAAAAATTTAAGCAGCAGAATCAAACATCGGTATCATTATCGTTCTTATTGTCGAATGAAGTTTCATCGCTTGGGTGATTTTGGCGTTTGAACTAAGAACGGCTTAGGAGAATGAGAGTGGAAAGGTGGTCAATATGTGGGATCGCTTTAAACTGTTGTCGAGATACTATGTAGCGGTCGGAAGTCGGAGTCGGAATCGGAGTCGGAGTCGGAATCGGAGTCGGAGTCGGAGGCAAATCGGAAAGTGAATTACGTTTAGTTCACTGTGCTAGTGTAAAGGCTAATCTCATGTTCCTC